AAATTTTCTTTGACTAAATAAGTCTGACCAGCTCGGTTAAATTGTTGACCACTTTACCAACCAACTTTGGTCGGTAATTTATTTAAAATAAATATAAATATTTTTCTCCCCGTTACCAACCAACTTTGGTCGCTTTTTTGGACCGATCAATTTTGGTCGTAAAATTTTTGGTCGCTACTTACCGGATTTCTAGTAGTGATGTATAAAATTTATCTTTATTTGAAAATTAATAAACATAAAATCCAAATGAAATACTAATTAATCTAATATTCTATCAATAAAATATATAGTTTTCTAAAATACGATAGTTGCTAGTGGTGATGGCTAACGGTAGTGCTTGTGAATACCGACTAGGCGTGGTGGTTAGTGGAGGTAGTTCAGGGTAGTAATTAGTGGTGATTGATAGTGGTAGCGATTATGATTGAGGATGGTGGTGATAGGTGGTGACAGTTAATAATGTCGGGTGGTGGTGGTGGTTTATAATGATGGGTAGTGACGACTATGTTTGTTGATAGTGATGAGGTAGTTGGTTGTGCTAGTTGAGGTAGATGAGTTTTGGTTGTAGATGAGAACGATGGTGGTTGGAGTGGCGGGGATGATAGGGGGTGGTAATCGATGATGATGGTGGCTATGATTGAGTATCGTAGTGGTGGTAGTGGTGGTGGTTGATAATGGTAGGCGGTGGAGGAGTATGGTGGTGGTGGTTGATAATAGTATGCGGTGGAGGAGTATGGTGGTGGGTGGGTGGCATGGTGGTAGTTGATAATGGTAGGCGGTGACAACAATTAATAATAAATATGGATGATATCATCTTAATGAAGTTAAGTCTCTGTTAAAGATCTTAATCATCCAGACTTATTCAGACTCATTAAGTGGTTGTTAAGTAAAAAAATAAATACACTTAATGATTAAGATCAGAATAATTAAGATTCAGACTTTAAAAATAAATGCACTTAATATCATAGATATATTAAGATTCAGACTCAGTAAGGGCAGACAAATGAGTAATCTTGTTCAAGATCTGCTACACATATATAATCTTTTACATCTGCATCACTTATCACATGCATGCTGTTACCAGTATTCCTTTCAAGAATTTAATTATTTTTAGAGCTAACTTGTCTCTTTTTTTCTACAATTACATTATTAATAACGCTTTGCAGGGTTGAAAATGTAGAAAGTAGTTGAGCTGTCCAGGTCAAAAAGCAATTCATTTTTCTATAAATGATGATGTGACCTGTTTTGTTTCTGAAAGGAATCGTCCATCAGATTTCCTGAATAGGAGTAATAATTTTGACCAAATTATTGAGGCGGCTAAAGTAAAAAGTACTGTTTCTTCTGCATTGACAATGTAAAAGTCTTACTAATAACTATAAATGCCTATGAACGCCTCTGGATAATAATGTTATGGGGACAAAAAACATTTCTTTTTTCAAGGATAGAAGGAAGATGAGTGAAGGCTACAATTCATTCCAACTTTTAATATAAAGTCACTCAGTCTTTGGTTGAATTTATCAAAAAAAACTAGTGTAGTTGTCCGTGTTTCGCGCGATTATTAAAAATTAAATAGTTATGTTATTATTTCTATATACAAATAATGTATATACTAATCTCTGTCATATATACATGATTTTACCATCTTTCATGATTCTTCTCAAATCGTTATATAATTTTAGATCCTATATAAAAATTAAAGAATCTGTGAGCGCATTTCAGATTAAATATTGAAAACTTATTAAAACTCGTCTAGATCAATATATGTGAGCTTGAATTGGAAACCTATAAAATAGAAAAACTAAAGAAAAGGAGAAATGATGATGTAAAATTTAGGAAAGTAAACCTAAATATCGCATGCTTTCTTTTCTTTCTCTAAGGCATTTTTGTTAATATTTTATTTCTTAGTTCTTACTATTAATTGTTTACACATATGTTTTATAATATTATATTGATAGTTTCTCATTAATTTATCGCAAATAAAATTTAAACAAACAGTAAAAAGAGAAGGAAACAGAAAAGGACATAGAAAAAGAGAAGGATACAGAAAAAGAGAAGAACTTTTTTTAAAAAAAAAAAGAAACCATCTATTAAATTATCCCTCTCTTGCATGAAAATTTCTGCATCCAATCCCTTCTTCCTTTCTAAAACTCCAAATTATGGAGTCTCTGTTCATTTCTTTCCTCGTTCTCTTTACCCTCGTTTCAACACAATATATTGATCTCAATCCATAGTCAAATTATGTGTATCTCCAATAGACTCTTCGAGCAACTTTGTTTGATACCATCCTAGAAATAGATAACCATAAACGTTAGAAGAATAGGATCCCTACTTATGAAAATCATTTATGGTCAGTCTTCCAACATTTAGTGTCAAAATACAAGGACAGAAAAAAAGTGAACTATTGAACAATATATTACTCGGTAGCAATACTATGCATGTCTAAATTGAAAAGTGGCTATATTAAAATATTAGAGAAAGAGGACGGTACTCAGAGGAGCAACACAAGAATTAAAAATGGCACAAATTTCTAACTCAACTTATATAAATAATGGATATTTGTATTCGTTCCAAATTAATATCACTTCGATTATGTATTACTGGATAAGCTAGTGGCTATAATAATTGTTTTAAATATAAAAAATTGTGTTAATCCCTTAGTATAGTAAATACTCAATTTTAAGTCGTCTGATATCTTAACTCTAGCAATATTTTAAATTTAGGTAACTTTAATTTGAAAACAAAAAGGAAACAATAACAAACAGATAAGAAACTAAACATTACATTATTAGAATTCTTAGTAAAATAATTGGTTAAGAGGATATGATTGTCATTATCTTGAATAGCAGCTACATGGATAAATAATAAACCATGAAAAAGAAAATTTTCTTATTTTTCATAATTCAAAAAGAGATGAGAAATAAAATGAAAATGGAAAATATATAAAAAGGGAAAAATAATGAATCACATCTTCCCATCCATTGTTTTCGTGGATTGAAGCCAACTTTTCTCAAGGGTTCTCTTTCTCTTCCACTTCCTTTTCATCGCCAACCACGCACAACACTGATGCCACCACCAGCGACGGCAACCGAAACACTATTGTCTTCGGAAGGCAGTGAAGCGACCCTATTTACCGTCAAATCTTTGTTGGCATAGTCGAAGGCCTTGAAAAGTCACCTGCTGAGCATAAAACGCTAAGCACGTACATCAATTTCTACTATTTACACGCATAATATCATTCTTATCTCAGATTTCTAAAATCTTCAAACCTTAAATCGAGACATGGAGTAAATCTCGAATTATGGAGTGAACAAAATCATGGTGTGATTCTTGGGTTGGAATATGACCTCATATAAGTCCAAAAAACTTTTAAGACATTTATGGAGGTAATTACAAGTTCGTTATGAAATTTAAAACTTTCAAACATTTATGGAGGTAATTATAATACTCCATTACAAAGAGTGACTTAAGGGGAAGTTACGAAGAAAGATGAATCGGTACAACAATAAGGGGTCAAATAGTAGGATAGCATAAATGATAACTAATTATGGTACAATTAATTTTTTGCATAACCATTTTTAAAGTAAAAACGTGAAATATATGCCAAAAATCTGAGAAAAAAGATAAATGATAAAAGCTGGTTAACGAAAGGTGTCATGTCAGCATCTTTTAGCCCTCTTATATATATATATATATATATAGATTGCTTCGGCCATTATCAAAATGGAACAAGAAACGAACGGTTTCTGGAATAAGTGGTCTTTTGTTGTTGTTTGGTCTTTATGTATAGGAAGCACATATTTTGCTTTAGTTTGTCCTCTTTCAAAAATTTTAAAGTACGCCATATGTTCTCTTTTCTTTTTTGGTTAAAAAAAAGTACCATATCAAAAGGTTGATAAACATAGTGAAGGTGCAAGACTCTCCAATAGTTTTATCAAGAATATCTTCTTACCTTTAATATATGTTGCTAATTAATACTTCTTTTTTGTATGGATAGTTTATATTGTTGGAGTTTTAATAGGAATATTTTTTATTATCTTTATACTGTATCATTATTTTTTCTTTTAATTTATATATTAGATATTACATTTACCCTCATAACTCGCAACTCTTTATCTTCTACTCTTTATAATACCCTTAACGTTTTCATACTTTAATCTCAATAACTCCCAAATATTACAGTTTTATTTGTTTAATCAGTTTTGGAATATAAAGATAGAGGGTTGAGTTGTTCTAATATAGTTAAAAGGAACAAAACAATTGGGAGAGTTTGTCGGGAGGGCCAAAACATTTTTTTTACAGATTTTTTTTAATTTTATTGATATTGTAGTGTATTATTGTTAATGTGAAATTAGTTATATGTAGTGTATCTAATTAATTAGAAAAAATATTTATATTTGTGATTTAATCTACCTTTAAAATTAATTTTTGTATGCATATATGAAAGTTATTCTTCTACAAAAAAAAAATCAATGAAGTATTTTAAAAAAAAATTATAATGACCGTGCGAAGCGCGGATAATATCACTGGTTATATAATATCACTGGTTGCTACTGTATGTTCCAAGGATACACAAGGATAGATTCTACAAAAATACAATGACATGTACGTAGACTTTTGACAGTGCGTGAGCATTCATCCATAACGCTTTTAGCCCGATTCATCAATATATTTTTAACATTCACAAAGAAATGATAGATATTGTGGTACTCTTAATCTACTAAGTTAAAATCTTAAAGGGTCGTTTGATATGCGAGATAAGGTGAGATAATGCGTGAGATTAAATTTTGGGATTTTTTTACACAAATAGTCGGCGATATTTATTGTTTACATTTTCTAGCCATATACATAGGTTATACATTGATTATACATATTTATACACATATGATACATAAATTATGCATATATTATACCTCAACCGACTAATTTTAGTTTAAGTGGTTAGGTGGGCTATTTGGGTAAATTCTTCTTAAATAAATTTATACCATGTTTGGTTGATGGTGCCGTCAACGAAACATGGTATAAATTTAATTAATCACAGTCTTAATAAAGGATATCCCATATTATCCAATCAAACTCGGGATTACATTATCCTACCTCACAAGTGGGATAAATTAGTCCCGGGATTATAATTCCGAGCTAATTTAATCCGTGTACCAAACGACCCCTAAGTATATCACTATAGCTAGAGTGGGATTGGAGTAGCTAGCAGAGGTTGGGCTTTTCCCAAGGTAATACCAAATTTTTCCTCCATGTCCAAATCTTTAGGTGCAATTCCACCTTGGAGCTTCCAGTTAAACGTATTTAGCAATGAACCTAGTGCTACTGGAACCATCCTGATAGCCAAAGGCAATCCAGGGCAAATTCTCCGACCAGCACCAAATGGTATGAGCTCAAAATCCCGGCCTCGAACATCTATTTCCGACTCCCAAAACCTCTCTGGCTTAAAGTCCAACGGATTTTCCCATAGGCCAGAGTCGCGCCCAATTGCCCACACATTCACTAGAACTTGCGAGTCTTTTGGGACAATATAGCCACAAAGCTCAACATCTTCCTCCACTTTGCGCGGGATTAAGAAAGGAAGCGCCGGGTGTATTCGTAATGTTTCTTTCACCATGCATCGCAAGTAAGGTAGCTGTGCAATATCAGTTTCATCTACTAGTTTGCCTCTGCCAATCACATGTGCAAGTTCTTCTTGGGCTTTCTCTAAAGTATGTGGATTCTTAAGTAGTTCCGCCACTGCCCACTCCAACGTATTTGATGTTGTATCGGTCCCTGCTACAAACAAGTCCTGTAAAACTTTCTATTGTAAGATCCCATGACATAATTGCCATAATCTAGCTGGTAAAACGTCACCACTTACTTCATCAAAAAATAAAAAATAAAAAAAATCTAGCTGGTAAAACGTTCCATCACATACTGTTGTCAATTGGACATACTGAAACGCTGACACAGCAAAAAAAGGGACCAATAAGTGTTGATAATGCGTGGCATTATTGCATATGACCTTAACGAACCTACTTACGGAACATACATCTAAGGAAAAGCTACATAGTGTTACACTAAATATTTGTCACCACTAAGATCATCATAGTTCTTTGTTCTCCGGATTCTTCCAAAATGTCAAAACGTGTGCGTGTAAGAGGTTCAAAAGTTATATATTTTTGGAGGATTCAATACAGATATGACAACATTATTAAAGGATCCAAGCAACATAGTAATAATAAGATAATTTTATTGCTGACAGTTATTCCATCACAACTTCACATATTTACACCCGACTATCAATGACATAGCCAGGAATTTCGTCAAGAGTGCTTAATAATTTTTTTTTGTCAATGAATGAATGGTGTACGAATTATTTTAGATCAAACTAGGCAAGATATAGCTAAACGATAAAAAAAAAACTTTTGATAGAACTATAATTTTATAAATCAAACTTAAAATAACAAAAACAACTTTAGAAATTTTACTAATAAGAGTAAGCTTATCAATTGAAAGAGAGAGTCGAGAGACTTTGTAGTTTGCAGAGAGCTTTTGTTGAAGAAATTTTTGTAGAACTTGACTTTTAAATTATAAAATTTACTTAAGAAATAACTTTTAGTTAAAAAATTACTTTTATGATTAGTTGTTTATTTCTACACAAATTTTAAGTTTTATGAGTTATTTTATTAGATCTAAAACAAATTAAATTGCCCACACATGGGTTTAGTTTTGGCAAATAAAATAGGCAGAACTTTGAACCCGTAAACAAAATGTCACTTTAAATACCTTGAATCGCTAGACTGCCTCACTCCACTATTTTAAAGGTGTTCAAAATATAATCGTGTAAAATAAGCTAAGAGTGTGCGCTTGACCACGCACGGCCTAGGGCGGCTACGCCACTGCCGACTATACTTTGCACGGAGAAGAACAATTAAATAGTAAAAGAAATGAACAGATAATTATGGATTGAGGAAAATCAGAGTACGTAATAAACTAACCAGACACAAATGCTCGATGTGATTCCTGTCAAGCTCTTCTGGGCTAATGTTGAGAAGGGCATCTAAAACATCAACATTTGCATGGTTTCTCAGTTTCCTTTCCTTTAGCCGCTCATCAATCAAACCACTCATAAGGTCAAGAACCTTAGTAAAATGATCGGTCATGCGCCGCCTTATACCTTGTGGATCAATTTTCACAAGAAAGGGAAAATAGTCCACCAAATTGGGTTTACCAGCCTCGACCATAATGCCCCACACCAAGTCCTTAAACTCCTTAGCAGAATCAGAAAATGGGTCACTCAAATCTTTAGAGAAAATGGTGTTTGACAGCAAATTCAGGGAAGTTCTAAAAGCTGCTCTGCCAATATCCACTGTTCCACCATTTTTGGCACTCTTGTGAAAATGATCAACTAGCTCCTGGATCTTTTTATTTCTGAGATGCTGATTAGCATCAAGCTTACTACCTGAGAACACAAGTCACAAAATCAATCCAGTTTCTAGTCAGTCACTCAATTTGTAAAAGTTCAAATAGATTGAGTTATAACTCGTTTATTGATTTGATCTAATGTGTTAAACTCGAAATGCCAAACAAGCTATTGCATCAAAATGAATGAAAAAGGGTAGTCGAAGGGGTCAAAATGCAATCGTCTATTTACCTGAGAAGATGTTAGAGTTCATAATCTTGCGAAGTGTTCTCCAGCGAGTGTTGACAGGTAGAAAAACAACAGAGGAATCAGAGTGATTTCGGGCACGTAGTGCGTCTGCGACAGACCTATTGGCAAAGACCAAATCTCGCTTTTGCATGACTTCTCTGGCCAATACTGACGAGGATATAACCACTGTGTTTACTTGGCCTAATTTGAGATTCATAATTGGACCATAAATTTTTGAGAGTTTAGCTAGTGATATGTGGGGTTTGTCACCAAGCAAGTGAAGATTTCCAATAATAGGCAAAGGGAATGGACCTGGTGCAAGTCTCTTCTTGTTTTTGCTTCTCTCAAGTGACATCACTCCATACACCAAAATCCATATGAACAACAATCCTAGCAAAATGGTCACGTACTCCATTTTTCTTTTCTTCTTGTAATTTTGGGATGCTTAATCTTGCTTTATAATGGAGGCGAGTGAGGTTTTATGGGCAATGAAGTCATAGGAGTGGGCAAGATTTTCAATTTTTTAATCTTCATCAATTCAAGAAGAAAGGTTAAAAAATTGGTGTGAATTAAATTATTTGCACAAGTCGACATGCCACCAAATTTTGTGCATTGCAGCTATGTTTTTCATTTGGAGTCTAGCTTTCTTTAGCTTGGCAGTATACAAGTGCGATGAGAGGTTCAGCTTAATCAATGTTCACAAAAAATATATGTGGGCTCAACGCAAATTGCATAAGAAATGTATTGTAGTTTCAAAACAATTACTACTAGTATATAATAATATCTCAGTTGCTTAAAGCAGAGGAGCATACTACTGTGACAGTATTAAAAACCAATCCATATGTGAGACACCTGTTAGTCAAAATTGAGAAGCAACCAAGAGATAATAAAAAATAACCTAGAGCAAACCGAGTCGGATCCAGGATTTAAACTTTATGAGTTCAACCTTTAAGATTTTAAGTATTGAACCCATTATATTCTTAAAGTTATGAGTTCATATCTATTACTTGTTGCAATTTTAATAAATTTTTGTAAGCACGTACTTTTTGACCCGTACAATTTTTAAGTTAGTTGTAGTATGTTAAATATTTACTTGAGTTATTATAGATTTTTTAATCCATTTTTTACTACCACTTTATTAGTTTAATTTTATTGTTTTAATATTTAAAAATAAAAAGAAAATACAAAAAAAAAGTTTCAATTTTTATATTTAGTTTTATTGTAGTAGTTTATTTTATTAATTAAGATGTGATTTTTATATTTTATAAGTATATTACATTGTTTTAGTCTCTCTACCATATTCAAACCCAAAAAACATGGTTCCATCCAATTATCCTTAGCCCATTCTTTTCAATCCATTAGCTCACTTAAGTACAAGATTTAATGTTAGTTATCTATTTCCTTCTAATCCAATGACCATCATCCTTCCCACCTCCTTATAAAAACCCAATTATAGAAACTCCTAAGTTTTTAATCCCTAGACGTAGGATCTACACTCTAAGCTAGAACGGCGGAGGACCAATTCCAAAAATAGAAAATGAGAGCAGCAGCTTAAAAGATGGCAGAAAATTTCTTGACCCAAGTCGAAATACCTCAACAGAAGCACTACAATGAACTCCCCTTAGCCACCCCAACACAGATTTTCGTTTTTTTTTATCTTAGCTTCTTCATTTGCATTTTGAAAAAAGAGACCCCACTATTTTCCTCCCTTCGATCTCCATAGACCCACTGTTTTGTTCCCTTTGGTTTTCCCTCTTTATATTTGCTTTATTGGGTAGAGTAATTTTCTTGTGATTCAATACCCATCAACCAGCTTCTTAATTTTTCTTCTTTCTTTAATCAATTATCGAATTTCATAATTTCTCTTTCTTTCTTGAACCCATTAATATGTTGAATTAGAATTCTGGGAGATTCAATGAAAGGCTGTTTCAACTGATCCAAGGATCAGTTTTAAGGTCATAAATTTTGTTGATTATTCGATTTTGGTAAGGTTCCGTCTGTCAAGTTTCGATTCCGGGTTCCTGATCGCGGTCAAGTTTTGGGTGATGCATCGGTCCTGTTTAGTACTAACAAAACAAATTGTAGATGCTTGGGGTCATTCTATTGGAGGTTCATCAATATATTGAAAGTTAAAGGTCCCATTCTATCTCTATCCATTTTATTTTATCTTTTGATTTTCAGATCATGCTTTTGTTTATGTATGAATAATGTTCGGAGAGGTTCTCTGTTTACTCTATACCTCTAAATTAGAGTTTTGTCTTTATTTGTTTAATGGAGATTAGCTCTTGACCATTTAGCTCACTTGTCTTGTTAGGAATATTACTAATTAACTACTGATTTATAAGCTCTTATTTGGTGTGCTTATGGCATAATCCCCAGTGAAACCGTTTATGAATTGTTATGTGGTAGGTGTATATTTTTGTTTTTATGAATGTGTGGTTGTATGTAGTAGGAAGGGTATGTTTTGTTTGTTGAATTTGAGATAAAACAATTTGAAATATGTTGAATTTAGAAATTAATCCATGTCGGTCAATTGATATCTATGAGCTCATTTAAATTTGTCAATGGGACATACAATATCGTTGGAGAATGAAGTTTTTAAGTTCATTTGGGTTTAAGTAGAAGCTGGCCTACCCTTTCAACCAATAAGTTTGGCTATTGAATTGTTTAGGCCATGGGGTGAACGTTTTCTTTTATCTTTTGAAAATTAAAATTGGGTGAAATAATTTGATCTTGTTAAGGCCCAACGTAATTGATAAGTTATTTTGTTTCTGGTAAATTAATAGATATCGGAATAATCATACATGAACATCGTAGCTTGTTTTAGGCACGATTAATTAAATAAATCATCACGGCTATATGTACGGTTCTCGTGGCATGGTCGTGATACCTAATCCCCAAAATCGGGTATGCATTTCATGTGACCCGATCATAACAACTTTGAACAATAATAAAATATACATGTCGCGAATCGCGGATGCATTTCATGTAGCGTAGTTTGCAGGGTGTTCCAAAATGGCAAGTGTACGATAATCGTAACTTGTTCCAGAAATAATTTCATAAATCCTAAAAACGGTTTTAAATAAATAAAAGCAGTTATAAAATTAAAAATGCACAAATTGTTTAAAACATGTATTAACTCAGATAATTAGGCTAATTATTAATAGTTGAGCGACCGTGCTAAAACCACGGAACTCGGGAATGCCTAACACGTTCTCCCGAGTTAACATAATTCCTTATCCGATTTTTTTGGTTTCGCAAACTGTAAAATAGAGTCAAACTTCCTCGATTCGGGATTTTTAACCGGTGACTTGGGACACCATAAATTATCCCAAGTGGCGACTCTGAATTTGAACAAATAATCTAATTTCGAATAATGTCACTTTAATTAGAAAAACTCTCTTATATTACCCTCGGGTGGTAGAAAGGTGTGACAACTTTATATATAAATTTATGTTCCGCATCAAAAGTTATGAGTGTGAGCACGTGATTTTTGCCTCACGAAAATTACTCCAAAATAATTCAAAAAATATATATAAAACAATTTTTTGCTTAGTGAGCAATTTTTAGAATTTGTGTGGCGTTTATTAATTATTTGTATTATGTCCGTAAATGTTTGCTTTGTTATAATTAAACAAAATAAAAATAAAAATACATGTTTCATGC